AGTCCAATTCCCACTGAAATTAACAGAGCCGTTTCAATTACCCCTCCAGTAGATACAATATATTATGACAGTGTCTCAGTCTTCATTGACCACTGTTTAATTTGTCTTCAGCAATTATCCTCCCACTCCCAATCTCTTTGTTAAACTACTACTGACCTAATTTATCTCTCTTCACCTATTTTTACCTATTTCACAATTTCTTCTCCTTCAGACTACTTCATATTGGCCTTTGCTGCATCCCAACAGTTGATTCCAGCTCAGTTTGCCAAGACATCATCCTATAGCTGATTGGATTTTCAGTCCTCCCAGATCTCCTTCACCCAAAATTTAAATCTACTGTAGTCAGCAAGGCAAATATTGGGACTTTAAGATGCTGGCAAATGAAGTAGAAATACGCTTGCAGTCTGGGATTACTGGAACACTGGGAGCTTTTTTTTCACTTCCATCTTTGCTTTATGGATGGCAGAAATAATGTAAGAGCCACTTTGTCATTCGCACCTTTGGCAGTTCACTCCTTTGGAAAAGCAGCTGCCTCTGCCAAAGATTTTTATTGCTGGTATCACTAAGAGATTTACAGGAGGTGCAGGATGTAGGGAAAGAATAGGTACTCTATTTCTTGACTGACAAATGGTATCGTTCAATTTGATATTAACTAAGGACTACCAAAGAAAATGCTTTGGCATGATGACTTAGTAATCACTTAAACACCCTGTTGAATTAGGTGTCACAAATGATACTCAGCTTTAACTCAGCTATAAACTGGAGGGAGTTATAATGGCTAGAAGCCTATTATGACCAATACAAACCAAGAATTTTAGATCCTCAAAGTCCTCAGCAAACAACTGATAGCCTTAGAGTTGCCCGTAAGTCTGTTTCAATATAGTTTCATGGATATCACTATCAGTGTAATGATCTGCTGTGCGCAAGTATTGTGCTTACTCTGAGAACACAAAATTAAGGTGTTCCAGCAGAACACTTTTACAGAGGCCAGAGTGACAGGTATAAGAGTGCTGCCAGTCTCTGTGTGATGGTTTAAAAACAGCAGTCAGGAATCAAACAAAAGATCTGGTGGCCAAACTCTGTCAACAGCCAGTAACTGAGGCCAAGAGAAGAGTCCAAGGGCAGGTCAAGCATATAGTGATGATTCCCCAGACCCCCCTTCCAGCCTACAGCAGTCTGCAGCTCAGCAACCTCCTTTCCAGAAGAGGGATCTATGTGTTGAATAGCTCTTGAGGGACTTCTTTCCTTTTACTACAAATTTGGCTACTCAAGTTAGAAGCTACGTAAACCTTTTGGCATCCGCCACTGACCATACAACTGTGTGTTCCACAGCTTCCTTAGCAAGGGATTAAAAAAAAATCTCATCTTCTTCTTAATCAAAACTATCAATCAGTCATTTAATTTGATGTTCTCTATTTCTAATGTAGAGAGACAGTGAACAGCCATTTCATTCTTACTTTATTCTTTCCTTTATAGACATATGTCCTCTCTACCCTCATTCATCTCTTTCCCAAGCTGAAGCATCCTAGACCATTTATTCCTGATGTTAAAGCTTTTCCACACACTTGATCATTATTGCTGGCCTCCTGTGATTCTTTATGTTTAATTTCACATCCTCTTGAGATGTGACACCTGAAATATGTGAACTCCTCTGTAGATGTACAATGCACTTAAACGGAACAAAAATTTTTCTCGTTCTTCATTTTCTGACATTTCATTTGGTTTTGACAGTACTCAGGCCATGGATTTCTTGCTTTTACTTGGAGCTTTGCTGCTCTTACATACATCTACACTGAAAGATGATGCATTTTTAATAACTTTATTTATTTTGACTAGCTGGCATTAGAATAACAGTAAGAAAACAGTTTCATTTCGTACTAACAGCTCGATTTTGTCCTCTGACTTCCTTGTTGTCCCCAAGTCAAGTCTCTGACCTAAATTGCCCAGTATTCATTCTCGTTTTAATCTAGAGTAGCCAAGATTGCCACTCCAAATGAAGAATGTGTGCTTCTCATGATGTGTCTTCCACTGAACATTTTTGTTTTCTCACTTCAAAAGCTCACAATAGCAATAACCGGCCAAAGATCTTTTTAAAATTAAGAATTTTAAATCAGCAGTTGAAATAATACATTGGAGACATAAATATGTTAAAATAACAGGCAGTTTACACATCTAATCAGTCTCATTATTTTGTGCTTCACAATGTAAATTGTGTTGTATATTCCCAAGATTTTAACTAGGAGGAACTTTTTTTTCAGCAGGGTTTGGCTAATAGAGACTCTACCCATAGACTGTATGAATCTATTCATTCTTTGAATAAATTATTCAAACTATCTCAAGGTAGGATTAAATAATATTAAAGTAAACATTTTCGTGTATTCTTGTACATTTACTCTCAGAGGCCTTTTGTTTCTGCTAAACCATACTCCTCTCTCAGATCAAGAACAAACAAAAATTCTATGGATCAAAAAGGGTGAGCACAATGCCCTCTGATGTGTCACTAACCCAATGAGAACAACATCTGACAACAGCTGTGGATTTTGAATGATGCTCAGGTGAGCCCCAGTAGAGTTCAAAGCTGGATATCCTCTATAGGTTAAAGACAACACAGCCTAATTGCCTCACTGTGTTTGTCACCAGCTTGAGCATGAGAAGGGACTGGGGGAACAAAGTGTTGATGCACAGCAGTGAACCTTTGAAGCTGCCGATGAATTTTACAATAGTAACATCTGGCCCTCTGGTGAGAAAAGTTCTGTCCCACTCACAGAGAAATGCAGGCTTTGGTTTAAAAATGACTGTTGACAGACAGAAAGGTGAGGAGCTGCTTAACCATCAGCTTTTCTGCTTGCCACTGAAAGGGGACTGTATGCAGACTACAACGTTTCTAAGTTCAGTTTCATCAGTGAGATATATTTCCATTTTCAGCCAGTGGTATGAAGCTTCCAAAGGATGCAGGACATCCAGGGCTAGCACAGGCCCATTTTATGTAGAATACCTTGCCTCTGTCATCCACAAAGGATTTAGGCAGTGCTCTGAATTTGAAAGATGTTAATGTCATTTTAAATTTTATACTTCCTTCTGCCAACAAATATCCAACACTTCTTTCAAATATTGAAGCATTAAAAACAACTTTGGTAAAGATACAACATGAAAGTAGAAAAATCCTTTAAAAAAGGATAATTAAAATTAAATATTTGAATATAAAGCCAAATTCACAGTACCATAACTTTTTCTTGTCTGATATCAGGTATCTTTGAGCAGCTATCAGTATTGATGGCAGCCATCTTCACTGATCAACCAAAGGGCCACTGTTTTTTCAATAAGCAAGAAGAAAAAGTCAACATCTTTCCAGTTGGGGAAAAGAACTTTCCTTCTGGGAAGGAAGGGGATCTCTTCTTGCACAGACTTGGCAGTGGTTCTCTATTCCTCTACTACAAGAATTACAAGAGTGAAATAGAGTGGAAAACATCAGATCACCAAGGTCATGTGATGAATGAGGCTATTAGAGCAATTAGATGAGTTTTATCTGTTTTGCTTAGTAAAATAGAATTTTAAGTCGGCTCATCTATCTCATCACACTTGATTACTCTGGAGGTCAAACTTGCAGAAAACATTTAGAAAGGTAACAGCAGGAAAACTGCACATGTGGGCATCAGATTACTTGTAAACATATTTTGCCTAGCCTGTGCAAGAGAAGACTGCAAATACCCTGCAGTAAGGGTAAGATTCACTTGACCTAAGAAAATCTATCAAATGTTTAGGAGTTTAGTTTAAACCAACTCTCCAGGCGTATTCTGTAACCAAGGAAAAGAGCCAGACCCCTCCAATAAGAATAATTTCCTCATAAAATAACGGTCTAAAATAGGTGAGAAGAATCAGTCTCTGCAGATTTCTCTCTCTCTCTCCACTGCCCATAGAGCAAGCACAGATGTTGAGCTCAGACACAACACCTAACATTTTGATGGATGAAATTATCCCACACCCAGTGACTGACCAATGGCACTTAGCATTTCATGTTGATTCACGTCAAGTGACTAACGCTGAAAGACACAACTGGAATTATATCAAATGAGTTCTGCAGTAACTGCATCCACCCTGAAAAGGACCCAGGCTTCACATCGTTCAGCTCTAGGAATGCTTTGCTTAGAGCAAACCTTTTGCAGTTTGAAAAGCCAAGCTCATATGGGGCTGCATTAGCAAAAGCACAGCCAACAGGTTGAGGAAGTGTTTATTCCCTTTGGTTCAAGAGAGGAAGCTCATCTCAATTGCTGTGACCCACTCTGGACTCCTCAGTGTAAGCAACACCAACAGACTGGAAGAAGTCCAACAGAGGGCTATGGAGGTGATTAAAGGGCTAGAGCAAGGAGGGACATTCAAGAAGAGGCTGAGGGAACTGGGATTTTTCAGTCTTAGGAAGGTTAGGAGAAAACACTTTTGCTGTTTGCAACTACCTAATGAAAGCATGTACAGAACTTGAGCCAGATGCTTCTCAGTGGTGCAGAGTGGAAGAATGAGACACAAGAGACATAAATAACAGCAAGGGAAATATAAAATATTTATAAGGAAAAAGTCTTCATAATAAGAATGGTCCAACACTGGAAAGGCCTGTGTAGAGAGGCTGAGGAGTATCCATCTGTGGAGATATTCAACATTCAATCGACACAGGCTCTGGGCAAACTGAACTAAGTTGGGTCTGCTTTGAGTAGAAGGTTGTGCTAGATGATCTCCAGACATGTTGTCTAATCTAAATCATTTCTATGCAATGGTTGTGGGAGAAAAAAAGAAAGAGAATTTTATGGTTATTTTGAAGAATGGTATGGAATGTGACACTGAAAAGATTGGGTGATATACAAATCCAGGATCACAATTCAGGTAAGGTCATGTGTGTAGGATCGATCTCACCTAACTTTAGCTGTCCAAAATGTCAGTGTGCAGTCTCATAACGGAGACTACATTCCCCTCTGTAATTAAAAGACAGACAGACAGATCTTGAGGATGGGAATTGTCTGATTTATTTCAAACACTCATCTTACAGTGCAGTGAGATTCTCCATAGATTTCAGTCTTCCTACTGAGAGATCCTAAATTACTATCTTGGACTAGACACCACCTTTCAGGTAGTTTCTGGGGAGGATAAAACACATTCTTGTTTCAAACAATAGAACTACACATATATTCAAAGAAATATAGAAATTATTGACAAGAGATATTAAAAGTCATTTTAGGAGAGAGGGGAGTCAAAGTAATAAGCACAAAGGTACAAAAATATTCCATGTCCTTTCACGTCTTAGTGGACTTTCAGCAAAACCAAAGAGCAAGATTCAAGCTGTTAATAAATTTGTTCTGTTCCCATAGTACATAACATAGGGGAGTTCATTGCCAATAGGTACCATCAAGCCAAAGAGAAAACATAAATTAAATTTTAACATCTTTTATTTTGTGAGATTATACGTTCTTAAAATAATCTTAAAATTACATTGGCAATGCTGAAATTAAGGCAAAACCAGAAACCAGTCAACACATATTAATATAATAAACTGTAGAAAGTTACTTTATCAGAGAGCAGCACAAAATAATCAGTTTAAGGTAATGTGTTTTGGCTAATAAATAAAACAAGAAGAGATCCCAGACTAGGCACAGGAACGTAACTCAGCCTCTTCTCAACAGCCATATCAAATAGACAGAAGACTGGTAGTTATATTAAATTAAAAACAAAAATCAAAAACTCACCCATCACAGTACAAGTGACTTATTGATACGAGCTAGGAAATTCCTTGCATATTATTACATAGATGGTCTGCTCTCCAACATGTCTGATACTGACCACTCCCTTGTTAAAGCTAAATACTGAATTAAATAGACTAAAATTTAAGGGTGTGATCTAGTATAGAAATTGTTATGTTTCTGTGTTTAAATCCATTTTAAAAACTAACTCAGCATTAATCTCTTCCATTACACTGAAAAAAAAAGTCTTTCAGGCATATCCTTTCACTTTTTTAAAAACATATTCTACATATATACTTTGTATTTTGTACATTGTACAGACAATTCAGATCAGCAAGGCCACTATAAAAACCTAATCCTTCCACCATACAAAACTCTACACTAATTCTTGAGTCTGGTCAATCTCCTGGAGAAGGGGTGGTCAACATGCACCTACTCTACTTTGCCAGATTTTTCTATCAAATTATTTGATTCTTGTTTCCAGTCTCCCTGAGATCCCTGGGATGTAAGTAAGGGCCCATAGCAGCTCGTGCTTCAGTCTCAGCTGCCTTTTTTTAACAGATGGGGTTCCTCTTCTGTCACGTGGCTCCTCTTCTGTCAAAACCACATGCAAATGAAATTCAATGAATAGAGTTAGATGCAAGAACAGAGTCCTCTGGCCTGCTACACAGTGGAAGAATATTGATATTTTCAGCAATACATCAGATTCAAGTCCTCCATAAGGTGAGGTATGTGAGCAGCCTCTAGCTGCAGGGTCCACATATCCTCCACGTGGCTGGAAATTGCCAGAGCATGGTGGAGGACACCTGGAATTTTTTTTATGTGGGCAGTACACTGTCACAGTTGTTCCTGTCACAAAAGGAAAAGTGGTTCTTTTAAATATTTCTAGCTGTAAATAATTTATTATACATTTCTGTAAACTCTTTTTAGGATTCAAATGCTCACCATTAATATGATATTACTACCTGATTGTACTTTGCTCACTTCAGTTTCCTCACACCGAGTCTGTTAAAAATTTCAATCTGCTATCAACAGTATGTACCAAAAGGATTATTTACAAAAAAAAACATATGACTGCCCCTAAACTTTTTTCTAAATAAGTTAAATATACGCAGCTCTTTTAGGGATCAATTTTAATTTATTGATTTTTAACCCAGTGCCCTCTTGGCAGTTCTTAGTTTTTCAATGCCCTTTCTGAAGTGTGAGTGATGTAACAATGCACACTGAATCTGTATTGGTGTGGTGGGTTGACCCTAACTGGACACCAGGTGCCCACCAAAACTGCTCTATCACTCCCCTCCTCAGCTGGACAGGGAGAGAAAATAAAACAAAAGGCTCATGGGTAGAGATAAGGACAGGGAGAGACCACTCACCAGTTACCATCATGGGCAGAAGAGATATTGCCAATCTAAAACAGACTAGAGTAATGAGTAGGGGCACGCACCCAAAGGAGGCTGTGACCCCTTGGGAAGCCTGTGCTGGAGCAAGCTCCTGGCAGGACCTGTGGCCCACCGGAGAGAGGAGCCCATGTAAGGGCAGGTTTGCTGACAGGACTTGTGATCCCATGGGGGACCCACACTGGAGAAGCCTGTTCCTGAAGGACTGCACCTCATGGAAAGGGATCCATGTTGGGACTGTTTGTGAAGAACTGGAGCCCATGGGACAGACTCATGCTGGAGTAGTCCTTTGAAGATTGTCTCCTCTGGGAGGGATCCCATGCTGGAGCAGGGGAGGAGTGTAAGGAGTCTTTCCCTTGAGGAGTAAGCAACAGCTGAGACAATATGTGATGAACTGACTGCAGCCTCCATTCCCCATCCCCCTGCTCTGAAGGAGGAGGCAGAGAATTCAGGAGTAAAATTAAGCCCAGGAAGAAGGGAGCAGTGGGGGGAAGGTGTTTTAAAATTTCTTTTTTATTTCTCTTTACCCTACTCTGATTTGATTGATAATAAAATTAATTAATTTCCCCAAGTCAAGTCTGTTTTGCCCGTGATGATAATTGCTGAGTGATCTCTCACTGTCCTTATCTCGACCCATGAGTCTTTTGTTATAATTTCTCACCCCTGCCCAGCTGCAGAGGAGGAGTGATACAGTGGCTTTGTTGGACACCTGGTGTCCAGCCAGGGTCAATCCACCACTTCATATAAGTAGCAGCCTGCATATCCTACACAGTCTGTACAGAAAGCTGGGCAACTCTACAGATAAGCAGGATGGCTATGGCATGAGGATCCTTCATATGTGAACAAAGCAAGGTGCAACACAGATTTCTGCATCACTCACTTTTTCTTGATTTCTGTCTATCTTCTCCCAGGCTCTCCTAGGGGCTTAGTATGGAGTTCAGTGTTGCTCAATAACATCATTGTGCATTGGAACCTTTCACTATATGAAGTTATTTCAAAGTTCAAAAAAACAACATAAAGTTTCAATAGTAACAATCTGCTGGATAAATCTAGCTTAAAGGAGTGGAAACAAAATTTACTCATGACCTTTTACCATAAACGTTGTGACAGACCCTTTCTGGATTTGAGATTATTCCTGTCAATTTTTGAATGTCTAGGTAGCACTAATAACTGGGCAGCCTTCTCACTCATCACAAACTTGAAGACCCTCTGTAACTTTTTCTTTATAGTCTGTTATATCCTCCTGTTTTGTGCCAAAATTTGAAGAGGCAGCAAAGACTAAAAAATAAAATATGTCTGGGATAATACCTAGTCTGATATAATATTTATCAAAGTGCGATTTTTATTTTAATAAAAACAGTAGTAAATCAAATGTGGTGTCTGCTACACAGTAGAGACAATACAAAAATTGCTTATATAGAATCCAAATGTTCCCTGCTTGCAATGTACACTATAGGTTGATGGTTCTGTGATCTCTTTGGATACTTTTAAAAGATGTCTGTGGGGTTTTTTTAAGTCTGACATGCATGTTGCCGGAATTTTGCAAAGCCAAATTAGCAGGCTGGAATACTGCTGAATATATATTTATCTGACATATAATTCACAAGTCCATTAACTATTTTTCCTCTTCCTCAGCCAAAAAGTACATAAAAAAAAATTGTATTTTACAACTTATTTTTGACTAACAAGCATCCATATTGTGTGGAATCTCAGAGATTAACCCCAGACAAGAGTCACTTTGGTTCAATTTTTTAATGTCCTACACCAATTCAGGCATTCAGATATTGCTGACCCCCATTATAGACAATGCTGTAGAAGAATATTCTCCACACTCGTCATATTTATTAACATTTAACCATTTCAAGTAGCACTGCTTGCCTAAGGCTTTTAAAAAGTTAAAATTATTAAAAACAAACAGAAAAAGAGTTGAAAAATCCATAAAACTTCCTGTATTTGAATTTCCGTCCAATTTATTGAAAGGTTTCCAAAACCAAAATCTGATAATTAAATTTAGTGGATTTTTAAGAATATTTTAAAAAAAAATAGACATGAAAATAAAACTTTGTGTAGTGATAATTGACAGTGGATGATTAGGAACCATTAAAAATTTACAACACAGAGAAGAACAGGTTCAGCTGCAGAATGTATAGTAACCAAATAGAAGAGAAAAACATGAATACCAGTACACCCATGCGAGACCTTAACCAAAAAAATCAGCAATATGCTGCCCTCCCTAGTCAGGTGTGGTGGTTTGGAGCTGGCTCCCCACCAAGTCCCTGATACCACAGCAAAAGCTTCCCCCCGCCCCCAACAAAAGTCAAGGGAAAAGAGAAAAAAAACAAACCAAGAGACCCAAAATAAGAGAGCTAAAGCAATATATACATATATTTACACTTATATTACATTTATATACAATTACAAAGACTACATATACATAAGAAAGAAACTCCCAACACCCCCAAAGGGAAAGGGAAAAGAGACAAAACAAAACAAAAAACCAAAAGCCAACCAAACAAAAAACCTCCAGGTATACACAGTCAATAAAGAACTAGCCAAAGAAAACCTTAATACTTTCCTTGAGATGGCACAATCGCGCCAAACGCCACCGCCACACTATCAGACCCCGGATCCGCAGAAACAACAGGTCCCGTAGGCCCAACCAGGCCTCAGCTCCCACACATGAGTGGGTCTGGCTGCAGGAGTCTGCTGTCTCCAAACCTTGCCGGAAGAGACGAGAGGAAGAGGCTTCTCTCTCCATCTTATTTATATGTTTGATTACTTAAAGGAATAGGATGGAATACTTCCTTCCTTCCTTCCTGGTTGCCAGGAAGGAAGGCCTAGACTCAAAACCATTACATCAGGAAAGATCAATCCAAGCTGTAGCAGAAAATGAGTCTATGTAGGACATAGAGGTCAGAAAGGGAAATGGTGTATCCACCTTCCAAGAAAAGAATATGAATTTGCAGTAACAGAATAAACAAAAAAAATATATGACTTATTTCCTAGGGTATGATTGTTGTTTAGAATTTCTTTGAGGGGAAAGGATAGGCAGGCAAAAATATTTAGGTACCAGGCAACGCTCACATTAAAACTCGAAAAGTAAACTTATCATGAATACACTCTGAACAAAAATTAGAAGAAGGTTTTTGACCATCAGAGGAAAAAAAATCTCATTCAATTCCTATTAGGAAGTCTGGAAACAAAACCTATCTCCTTTTAAGTTGCAGATTCAGCAGTTCAGAATACAGGCTGTCTTTGTCATTAAAGAATTGTGCAAAATGTTCTGAGGATTTACAGTCTTCTGTAGTCCTATGAAATTCTGTACTCAGAAAACTGCATTGTTTAACTGCAGTAAATTGAAAACTAAAACTTTCAAACACTTCTTAGTGCTTTTGCTACAGAAGGACTCATTTAATGGGAGAAATATGGTATCTAAATAGAACTACCATGATAGCAGAGTCACTCTTGAACAAAATGGGATTACTGAGATCATTTGCATTGCCATCATTCACCCAGAGTTACTCAAAAAACTCACACATCTCAGACTTTGGCTTGGGACTCTTCACACATCTAAGTTGATTTGCCTGTAGGACAAAATTCTCATGGATTTTGCATGACTGCAGCAGAGATTATAATTGCAGTTTCAGAGAAAAATCAGTCAGTATGATACTGATACTATTATTAATAATTCTTGTAATATGAATGTATTGAAACCATTGTTCTGCAATTCCATGTTAGTGCAATGTTTTTCCTGGAACCAGCATTATAAAATTCCTTACAAGAGTTGCATTCTCAACACATAAAAGTAAGAAATTCCCTGTCACCAGGGAATTAATAAAATTATTCTGTAAAAGGCCGGTATTTCAAATTATATGCAGGTAGATCCATTAGGTGCAATTAAAAAGTCTAAGCAGTTTGCCTAGAATCTCTGGCACAAGTAAAAACACATTCAGCTCAGGTTGTCTGTGAAAACTTTCTGGACAGTCCCATATAGGACTGTTGTGTCTCCAAATTAATGATAAGCTGCAGATGCCATAGCATAGTTTCCCACCCTTGATGACAGTGCACCTTGAGAAGACAGCTCTGGACCCTTGAGGCCAAAAAGTGAAAGAGATTCAAAAGACAATAATAATATGTTTACAGCAAGCAAAATAAAAAAAAACCAAACCAGGAATCTCCTTCTGTGACTATTTGAGAAATTACAAAAATCTTTTGATAGAGCTGGGGCAAGATAATGTCTGTGGGTAGAGAAAATACCCTTTCTGGGACATGAGATACATCTGGACAAAATGGAGAAGCTTCACCAGATCTGAAACAGAAGAGCAAAGTTCAAGTTCAGTATTGGCTGAGGACCTGACAGGACAAGCAGACTCATGTCCACTAATAGTAAGACTTCAAAACCAAAGCACATGCATATAGTAATTTTTCTGGCAAACAAACAAAGGGACCAGCCTTTCAACAGCAGTATCTAGTGAAGGCTGGGCCATTGGGAAATATGGTTTCAAATAATTTATTTAAACAAGACAAGATTCTGATCTCATTAGACTGGTGAAAATCCAAAGTAATTCCAAAACCTTCTAGTCTGGGGTTCAACAACCTTAATATGGAGGGGAGGGGGGAAGAGATCTCCCTTTTTAATAATATTGACATAAGAATTCTGTTTGATCTTTGTGGGTTATGCTTCAAACATTGTTTCCTTTTATTAATTAGGAAGGTTTTTATTTATTTCTACTTTTTACAGTATCATCTTTATTACTACTTCACTTTTGCTGTCTTACTGTTCCAAATGCCTTGGAGTTTTCTATTTTCTAGTTCCACCCTTCTCAATGGATTTACAACAAAATTTGTTGTATATGAAGATCAAAGCATTCATCCTTAAGCTAGTAAACTTTTCAGATGTGAAAAACAATGTAGAAAAAAAACAAATACAAAGGTTTCTTAAAAAGCAGGGTGTGTGTGAAAGATGGAGACCAATTGGGCAGCCTCAAGTAAGACACATACCGGCAGCTGCCTCTGCACTAGGGAATACAGTTATATAAAGCACATGTTCTTCCAGAACCTCTGAAGATGTCACGAGCAGTTCCCAGACCCCCCTCTACCACCGCTCAGCCACATCAGCCATCCCCATTGTCTGGAAGCAATCACACTGACCTCACTGAAATTTTCCACATGCATGTCTGTGGGTGCTCTGCGAAGTCTACCTGCAAGGTGGGACCCAAACTCCATTTGCTGGAAGCTCTTTCCCTGCCTGCCTGAGACATATGGAAATGTTGGTACATACACTGGAGCTGGGGAAAAGAGTGTCTGTAGCCAGGCCACTTGCCCCGAGGCAAGGCGAGAGGCCCCCTGGCACTGATGTGGCAGCACAGACCAGCAACAGGCTGTGCCCCTCCAGCCCGTCCTTCTCCTCCTCCCCAGTCCCTGCCCATCCCCAGTGCCGGAGGACAGCCTGTCGGCACCGCGTCAGCTCTCCAGGCAGGAATCCCACTGGTATCTCTGACGAGCTACTTGAAAATGAGACAGCCGTCTCTACAAACTCGTCCTCAATTTCTATTGAATGATTGATTGTTTTTAAACTAGTGCATTGTATATTTTGGGAAAGAATTTATGATTTACCAAAAAATTTCCTGCTGAAATAAAGCCAAATGGAGACTGATCTGGGCCAAGTTGCTCAACGTCCACTAACAAGAACATGTTTTTCTTTTTCTTCCTTTCTTGTTTTATGCATGTTTCTGGACTCATTTCATCAGCTGTCAGTAGTTAAATACCATTTCAGAAAAGGGTTTATTATTGTAATTTCCTCAATTATTCTGTTTGTTTCTGCTATGGTCTCCTGAAACAAAATCAGTCAGCTAAAGATTTAATAATATATTTTCCCCTGCTGCTCCTCACAAAGGGCCTAAGCCTTCAAGGTGCTCTGTTTCCTGAGCTGGTTTGCACCTTGAAGACCGTGACCTTAACTGAGGGCTTTTGCCTGTGTGCTCCACTATCGCTCTCCAAGGGACATCACTGACTTCAGTTCACAGCCAGCTCATGTCCCCAGACCATACCCAATGGCACAGCAGTGCATGATAACCAGGAAAGGAAACCGATGAGAAATGAAATGGAAAGCAAGAGCCCTTTTTCATCACATCAACAAAGAAGAAAACCAGAACAGATACACGAAGTGGTGAAAGCAATCCAGCTTAAATATACACTAGACAATGGGTTAGTTTAAGCAAATGTAGGTGTTCCTCTAACAGTATGTATCTTTTGAAATGTTAAATTAAATGTACATTAAAATATTAGGAAAAAATCTGATATGAAAGCTATATTCTTTGGAGGAGAGAAAAGCAACTATTTTTCATGTAAGGCTAAGCAGAGCAGAACCCACCCTCTGGCAGATGGGACATGCTGAGCACATCGGGGCTGCTCTGACACCATGGAGGTCAATGGAAGGCTCTTGCTGGATCTCATAGGGCTTTGGATGAGAATCCTGGCCATAAATGATGGTGGAACACAGCAACATGAAGCGACATCAGGCAGCCCTGGTGCTCCCTCGCCGCTCCCCCAAAAACGAGACTGCAACACAATGCATGACAAAGGCATAGAACGAGGCAGCCAAAAAATCATGAGCCTCAGATGTTCAGAGTGTGACATCTGCTTCTGGCTCAAGCCATTCCTATACTGAACTCAGTTGCCTTTCCTCCAAGACACCCAACAACAGATAACCTCAATGTATGGGTTCCAATACCGTTTATCTTAAATACAGGCAGAGATTATTTGGCACACAATGGAAATGTAACTATTTAAAAATCAAAACTAAGCAAAATCTATTTACAGCTTTGTAATTGCCCTGTGAATCATGAATAACCAGGCCAAAGCTTTCAGTGTCAAGATATTCAAAATCATGATTCAAGCCTTGAAAACAATCATTTGGCTATAAAAACTAAGGTTTTTAAAAAGTAATAAAAACTGAGCATTTTTTTTTATTAATGTCTCCATATTTTGGCATTTGTACCTCTGCAGTCATTAGAAATGGAAACTGACATCTTTAAAACACAGCTCAGATTCTCCCTTGTTCACTTGATGTCAGGGGATGGGGCTTTTAAAGGAGCAACCAACAATTCTGAGTCCAGCAATAAATTTCCAAGTCTAGTTTGTGTTTTCAGTACTCCACTTGGTCAGGTTAAACAGGTACCAAACACAGAGTCTCATATTAGAAACACGTTGCACAGAAACAACTCGGTGTTTTGGTGTTTCAGCATATGTGTTTAACTCACATAACTTTGATGTCATCCAGAGATGGGAGAATGAAGTGCCTGTTGAAATCATCAGGAGTTTTTCAGTGTGTCTCAGGGCTTTGCATCATTCATACCTTCTGCATGAATTTAATATTTAAAATTGATAAAAACCCCAATAAATAAATGTTGCACTTTACTGCAAAACCATCAGAATTTACAGAACATTTGTAAATCAACACCTCTCCACTCTGTGCAGTGCAACCCTCCCTCGTTTCCTTTGTAGAAGGTAAATTCACTGAGGCAGGCAAAGCTGTCAGTGCCTTTATGTTTGTACAATGTCCAGCATGGAGGAGATCTGATGGGGCTGTGTTTGGTGTGCTACTTTCAGTTTGCTCTCACCTCTGTACTTCAAGGCTGCAGCAGGCAATAAAAGCAAAAGTGCCAAAATACTGCAAGTGTGCATAGTCTCACTTCATTTCTAGTCTACCTGGAAGCAGAGGTATCAGGGACTTTG